GGACCCGAAACGTTAACTCTGTTTTTTCCTTCACAGATGCTGCCAGACCTGCTGAGCTTTTCCAGCAACTTCTGGTTTTGTTTTGTGGTATACAGCATCCGCAGTTGTTTTGTTTTTTTTATTTACATTGGAACAAAGCTTTAGCTTGCACACAACACACTTGTCTGTGATATATAAATACAAAACTCAAATGATTGATGATACCAGTAAATAATGTAACAGCGTAAGTCAGTAGCAGTTCAAGAAATACAACTGTGGAAAGAAACCCCATTTGTATTTCAGTTTGAAATCCTTTCATCAGAATTGAAGAAAGAAAGAAATGCAAGAGGTTTGAAGTCATTGTAAGGAGAGGGGGAAGGAAGAATGAAATGACAGGTGTGATAAGGTGGTGAAGTTAATGAACAAAATATTTCATGATGTAGAAGTGTTATAACCAAGGCTGGAGGCATGTACCATCACTCTCATTGCTCTACTCAGTTCACAACGTAAAACAAAAATACATTCTCTAGTCACCAAGATGGCCAATAAAATATTTTTAGGTTTCAAAGAACAAGATCTGTCAATTAGGTTGCTTAAACATAATTGCGGATTTCTTATCAAAGCAAAAGTTATTCCATACAGATGAAATAAATGCCATTAATATCAAAGTTTAAAATCTTATTCTGCTAAATATTCCCAAAGCGTACACGCTCTCTCTCCATCTGTCTCGTGCTCTCTCTGGTTTCCACTCCACGAAAAGAGGGGAGAAGATCAGATTTCTCTACAGATGTTGGCTTTCTGAAAAAGAAAACTTTTTTTGGCCACTGGGTTATTCTTGAAGACAAAAGGGATAAAGCGTAGAATATTCCAAGAGGGTATTGCTCTGATCTTCGGGTGCATTTGGTTGTCAGTAATCACACGTCTCTGAAATCATGTAAGTACAGTTTGCTCAGGAAATACAATCTTGAACTGCCTTTGCAATGACTCTCTCTAAAGAACAAACAGGTTTCACCCTAAACTCAACAACTGGGTTTTCTTTTCAGAATAGGAGAGGTTAGCTCTGCAACTTGTTCTTAGCAACCTTTCCTCCAACTCAGCTTGTTCTTAACAGGCTTCCCTCTAACTTAACCAGATAGAACAAATACCTCCTCAGGTCAGCTGTTGTTCAAACTAGCCTAAGCATAGGTTTACAACAAAGCAAGCAGTTATCACCAGTTTGATGACTTACAGGAAGCCTTATGGGAAGGCAAAACTCCAGTGTCCACAGTGAACTTTTAATGATCTTAAATAGATATTTCCAATAAAGTTAAAATAAATCAATATTCCACAATCTTCTAGAACTTAAGATCTTCAGGTTATTAGATATAAAGCACATTTATAACAAAAGCCTAAGAGAGTGAAAAGAATTAGAATTAGGTTTATTGTCACATGTACTTAAGTACAGGGATACAGGAGTACAGTGAAAAGTTTAGTGTCACCAATCACAGCCCCATCTTGGATACAAAATCTTAACTAAAAACTAAAAAATAAAGAAATAAATTACAAATTCAACATTATAGTTCTTCTTAGAATAAAGTAGTAAATAAGAAATAAAGTTAAAAGTTCCAAATTACATGCCTTTTTTAGCCATGGGCCTCCAGTTGCTCCATTGTGGGCTTTCCCCATGCTGGGCACAATCTCTTGATCCCCGCACCTCCATCTTGCCACCAATCACCATCCAGGCTCACCAGCTGCCTCACCACAGGCTGCCAGAATTGCAGTCTGGTGCCACTCTGGGGCCCCCAGCCGTTTCTGTAATGCTGCTGACCATCAGATGTCTGTCTGGGTACACCAACCGCCTCATGGTCGACGTCCAAAGTCCCTAATCTGGGCCCCTAGCCACTGCCATCGCCGCCACTGCCTCCATGACCGAGCTCCCTGAAAAAGGTAAGTAGAGAAAAAAGTCTTAAATAAAAAGTGAGAAAAGAAAAGCGGTTGGCGTGGATGAGCTCTGGCTCAGGAGCCCTACTTTGCCGCCATCTTGGATCAGGGATATTGGATGTACTAAAGAAACAAAAAAGTTGTGTCCTGGAGAGGTGTAAATGGTCAGTTGTTTAGTTAATCTCTCCTGCCCTTCACCCTGCCATAGACCTTCCATAAGATACAGGAACAGCAGTAGGCTATTCAACGCATCATGTTTATTACTCCATTGAATGTGATCATGGCTTTTCTGCTTCCTGCCCCTCTCACCTTGCACTGGCTTAGAGTTCTTAACATTCATATCTTATTTCAGTTCTGTTGAAAGGTCATTGGTCTGAAATGTTAACGGTGATTCTCTCCACAGATGTTGCCTCCACAGCCAAGTATTTCCAACATTTTTTTTTAATCTCTGACATCATGCATTCACAATAATTTTCTACTATAACAATAAATCATTGCAATTTAGAATCTAAATTAGAAAGTCATGGATCTGAAGTTTGCCTCAAAAGATGTAGTGACTTTTAACTCAGTACCTTTTACAGGAATTTTTTATAATAGTCAATTTCAACCATCAATTTCTATTGCATTACTTTGCAAATTACTATTTTATTCCTTTTTGTCATCAGTCTCGCTCCAGACAAGAGGACCCAGAGCAACTTAGGCTAAAACAAAAGGCCAAAGAGGTAAGAATAATCTTTTTTCCCCTTTGCTACAAAAGAATTCTGTAACAATTTTGGTACACTGTACAAGATACTTATAGGGTGCACTGGATAGCAGTACCTAATAGAAAGGAGGTCAAACCTCTGCATAAATTAATTGGCCTGAGATCAAGCTTAATAGTAGAATCAAATAACTCAGCAAAATACAGTCAGGAGGCGTGCATATGCTTTAAGATTCCACATAGACTTTGTTAATAAAATTGACATGTAAAGTTTCATAACAGATTATTTGTTCTAAGAAAAAGAAAAGGTTACTTTTTGTATATTATGCTGGAATAATACATTTTGCCACTATGGGTACCCTTAATTTCCAGCCTGATTTTTTTTTTTTTTTACTAACTGACCACTTTTTATTTGCAGAATCCCACTGTCAGTGAGCAGATTCCAGAACAGTTGTATATTCTTTTCGCACTATAATGACATAGAATGCAAAATATTACCTATGTTAGTAGGTGTTAGCTTGACCGAGTTGGAAGCTCTTTTGCATCAGTCAGAAGGCTGTCTATACCAAAGTATGTGCTCATAACCTAGACCAACACTTCAGTGTAGTATGAGGGGTGCAACATTGTCAGAAGTGGCATCTTTTGAGTGGGATATTAGCTAGAGTTTCTGTTCAGGAAATGAGAGATTTGAAAGGAGGGAATTTTCCTGGTGTCTTGGCAAACATTCCTCATTTAGTCATCGGCACCAGAAGAGGTTACTGGTTATTTGTCTAATTTGTTTGCGGGATCTTCCTTTGTGTAATTTGGTTACTGCATTTGGATGAGCAATTGTGATCACTTTAAGTAGTAGTTATTTGGTTCTGAAGCACTTTGGGACATCTAGGGAAGATGATAGAGTTTTATCATCTATGTTATTGTTCTTGCTATTTCTAGCAAGGCAATGGTATCATGGATAAGAAAAGTAGCAACCTTTTCATAATAAACTGGCTATGCATGATAACAGAATGCTGAATGGATTCATACACTGTCATTTATAAACCTGAGGATAACAACTTTGTTGCCTGTGTTTTAAGTCACACCAATTCCTACTCATCTATCAACAAGCCTCAGTCTTGTTTTCAAATCCCTCCATAGCTTTGCCTCATTCTTAGCTCTGTAATCTCCTTCAGCCTGACAACCCTCCTAGGTATCTGCAGTCGTCTTAATTCTGGGCCTTGTGTGCATTCCAAACGTTAATTGCTCCTTGTTTGGTTTGCGGCACCCTTCGAGTTCTTTGGCTGTAGGCTCTGAAGTAGCCTCCCCAGATCTCTCTGCCTTACTTTCCTCCTTCAACACGCTCTTGGAAAACTATTTCTTCAACCAAGCTTTTTCTTACCAGACCAAATATTTGATAGGTATCATGTTTTGTTTAATAATTCCCATATACTTGATAAATATCCTTTCTGTAACTGGACGACCAGAACTGGACACAGTATTCCAGAAGAGGCCTCGCCAATGTCCTGTAAACCTCAACATAATGTCCCAACTCCTGTACTCAAAGGTGCCAAACGCGTTATTAACCACCTTGTCTATATGCAACGCAAACTTCAAAGAATAATGTATGCACTTGCACTCCAAGGTCCCTCTATTCCACAGTGCTACTCAGGGCCCTACCCTTGTTTGTTGTACCAAAATGCAATACCTCACATTTATCCGGATTGAAGTCCATCTGCCATTTCTCAGCCCATTGACACATTTGATCAAGATCCCTTTGTAATCTCAGAAAACCTTCTTCACTGTCTATTATGCAACCAATTTTGGTGTGGTTTGCAAACTTTTATATTCTCATCCAAATCACTTATATAAATGACAAACAAAAGAGGCCCCAGAACCGATCCCTGTGGAACACTGCTGGTCACAGGCCTCCAGTCCAAAAGGCAATCCTCCACCATTACACTCTGTTCTCCTGTGTTAAGCCAATTATGTATCCAATTGGCAAGCTCACCCTGAATCCCATGTGACCTAACTTTACCAATTAGTCTACCATGCGGAACCTTGTCGAAGGCTTTACTAAAATCCAAATAAACAACGTTGTCCTTGCTGCCATCATCAAGCTTCTTGGTAACTTCCTCAAAAAAACTCAATCAAGTTTGTGAGACATGATTTTCCTCACACAAAACCGTACTGACTATCCCTAATCAATTTTTGCCCCTCTAAATGTCCATAAAACCTATCTTTTATAATCACCTCCAACAATTTACTCATAACCGAAGTCAGACTCACTGGTCTATAGTTCCCTGGTTTCTCCTTACAGCCTTTCTTAACTAATGTCCTTTTAAGGAAGAGAATTTAGCATTCTCACCTGCTCTGACCTACATGTGATGCCAGATCCAGAAGAAAATGGTTAAATTTTAACCAACTTTGAAATGGGTGAGCTACTCAGTTCTTGGAATATTATCGGTGGACAGAAAATGCTCACGTTGCCAAATGATGTTCACTTCCCTACAAGAAGTTTAAAAAAATCCACCCTCCCACAGATCACAGTACTTCCAAGTTTTGTGTCACCTGCAAATTTTGAAAACATACGTAACAAATCCTAGGAGTGAATATTTTAAGCTAGATAAGCGTGTGTTTTCTCATCCAGCGTTGATCGACATTGATTATTTATTATTGTAATATATTTAAATTTATTTTCAAATTGTAATATAACTTTTGATATGCAGAATATTCAATATTTTTATGTGAATAAATGATCCACTCTTTGATTCCCAGATGCAACAACAGGAATTGGCTCAGATGAGGCAGAGGGAAGCCAATTTAACTGCATTAGCAGCCATTGGCCCCAGAAAGAAGCGGAAGGTTGATTCACCAGGACCTGGGATTGGAGCTGGGACAGAGGTACTATATAAAAACATTATACATTATTACATTACTAATGCTATACAAAATTCCAAAGCAGGTTCAGTAACATTCGCCCCACACAAATATCATGCAATAGCTATCTCCCTTCATGTTCAACGGTATTGCCCTGGCTGAATCCCCACTATCAACATCCTGGAGACCACCACTGACCAGAAGCTGAACTGAACCTGCCAGTTAAGTACTGTGACTCCAAGAGCAGGTCAGAGGCTACAATGATTGCAACAGGTATCTCACCTCCTGACTCCCCAAAGCCCAATGGGCATACCACTCCACAAGATTAAACTTAAAGAAGAAGCAGTTATAATTTTGTTATGAAATTAGAGTCCTAAACAAGGGCCTGGATTTTCATCTTGGAGATGAAATTTGGCTCTGCCTTGTTCACAATTCTGTGGAGTTGGAGTAAAATCCAAGCTGAAGTTCTGCTGTCTATGTGAAAATTAAAAAAAAAAGGGATCTGGTATAGGCACTTAATGAGCCCTCAATGGAATTAAGTGGATCAATAGTATGAAGGTGTGTGGTTTTCTGTCTATTGTCTCTCTTACGCTGCACAAAACAGCACTGGCTAAAAATGGAAGCAAAATTTCTTGCTGCCCCATTCACTTTTCATTTTCTTTTACAGTTCTCCCTTTGATTTTTCACCTCAAGCCCAGTCCAAGAATTGGTAGTTAAGAAGCTGTTTTCTTTGATTATAAATGCTGAAATTATAACTGACAGAATTTGGGGAAATATTGCTTATTTCTTTAATAATGTTGAGCCCTTCAAATGTAAACACGTTTTCAAACCAGGAGAAAACAATTCCTAATTAAACCTTCCTAAGCTATGTTTATAAACTGGTCACAAGGTCAGACACCTGACAAAGTTTGTATTCCTATTTCTTACCCTATATTTATACAACAATAGCTTCCTCAAACTTTTTCCAAAGTTTTGATTCATCTTTGGTGAAACAATAACTAGAATTCCTGTATTTAGAGTACAGTTACAATAAAGCTATTTGATCACATACTATGCATGTTTTGCTAATTCACAGTTTAAAACTGTTTCAGATCCCATTTTCTGTACTCTCTCCTTCTCATGCATTTCAGAGAGGAGATGATCCAGGTATCACTGTCAGACTATAAACTTGTGGACAGAGGAATATTTTCATAGAACAGATGGAAGGACACAATTCCGAACTCTTACAGTTGTGGCACTTTAATGTTAACCCGCATATTCAGCTGCTTAATTTGAAATCTGTGGAGTCATTAGTTTAGGTTCAGGTTTAAAATCGAACGACAGTAAATCAGATATATTTAGTTGCTGAAACTGCAGCAGTTCTAAAGAATTAGCTGGTTTAAAAAAAGAGTAAATTTAATATTTATAAACAGTAACTTAATGGGAAAATGTTGTTGCTGACTACTTCACCAAACAAATCATGCAGTTAACCCATAATAATTCCGTTACGTATCTCACACAAGAGATTTGCAAGCTTGATTGTTGAATGCAGGTAATAGTCTGTACTGTATGACTCTACAATAAAGAATGTATTGGCAATATGAAGTAAAGCATTTCACAAAGCACATTTTCAGGCATAAAAAAGACAGATAAAGTTGCTGGAATTTGAATTGGTATGTTTCAGTACCTTTATAAATCCTTGAATTTATAATAGAACATGATATGTTATCCATTCTGTTTCTCTCTGTTCTAGGGACCCAGTACAGGCGGGACAGCAGGAGCCTCTGGAGTTGGAACACCTAGACAGTTCACACGGCAACGAATAACAAGAGTCAACCTCAGGGACCTTATCTTCTGCTTGGAGAATGAGCGTGAGACAAGCCATTCACTAATGCTGTACCGTGCATTCCTTAAATAAACGTCCTGGGTTGATTTGTTTTGTTTTTGACCAAGACAACCTTCTGCCCTGTCTTTTTCTTTGCAGTTTTTGGTGGGGGGACAGAGGTAAGGAAAGGAAGATAGAGCGATGGAGAACAGCTGGAACGCTAGAAGTGGGAGAATGTTTTAATGTTCAACCTTACATTAACTCTATGTTTTTAAAGTTTTGAATTTTAGTTAGAAAAATGAATACAGCGAGACCTGTGGATACTTTATTTATAAAATAAAAAAGTCTGATCACTTCTCGTCTCCTGACTGAGTGGCCTTCTTGCCAAACAAGCCATATTTAAAAACTGATTCTGATTTCACCAGTGTATAATTTGCCAACTTTTTGGCAGATTAGTAGCAACTTGAAACATTTAAGTATTCTGTTTTTGAATCATTTGGCTTAAAAGACTTTGAATTGTATGGGTCTGAAGCTAACAACCTTGGATTATTTTACCTTCAAGGACATGGAGCAAAAAAACATTTTCATTATTGTATTTTTTATCCACTTTTCATTGTTTCCATTCTTTTGCTGTACTTTTCTCAATTAGCTTTTGTAAATGTATGGTTTGTGAAGAGTTAGGAGAGTTTGTTCAGTGGTAACTCTGCAGTTCTCACCATGTGATTTGCATGTCAGAGGCTTTCCCTGGAAGCCTTTAAGAAGGGTTTCTTTTGTGAATGTTGTAGGGCATTTGTAAAAAGAAAAAGATGCTTTTTTTTATTTGATACAATACATGATGCCGTAAAGGATTTAAAAAATAACTTTTCTGCATAAATATACATTACTTGCACTGTGTTGGCTACCTAGCTAATGTAAAACTTTAGTTAAAAAAAAATCTAAGAAATGGTGAATTGTGAAAGGATTGTTACTTGGTATGAATCACGTGTAGAAAACAATTTGCTGGTGTCTATCAGTGAGCTAATAATTTGTACATAATTTTGGCACATAACATAAATTGCTATGTAAACCGTAATTATTTTGGTAAAAAGACTGTATGCAAGCTATGGACCTACTTAATGGTAACCAGAGCAATGTCCCTTCTTTGTATCTATTTTTTTATAAAAAAAATACTAAATTTTTCTTTATATTTTCAGAGGTTATTGTATTAAATGATTGTCTATCAATAGGACATTATGATTGTAAATACTTTTGCTTTCTTTGTGTGTAATTTTATGTTGTTAAAAGAAACATTTAAGATGCTATTAAGCTGATGAGTTCTGTGTGTAAACTGAAAACTAATCAGTATTTTTACCAATGCCTGAAAACTGTTACACCCTTGGTCTTTTACAAATCCTGTCTTTCCATTTTTCATGTAAATTTTGCACAGTTACTTGTTAATATGTAAATATTTTACTTTCAAAAAAGGAAGTTTTTAATTACTATTGTTTTATATAGGATTGAAAGAGAATTAACTCCTTTATTAAAACAATGAATTTATCTGTATTTTGCTTACTGTCTTTGGTGCTTGTTAAAGTTACAGCTTATTTGTTTAGGTTATGTATTTCTAGCAAACCCCCTGTAAGCAGTTGGAGAACCTAAGAAAAATGTACGTATTCCTCAATTAAAAAAACAATGCAGCATTATAAACATTTTTAGCAAGCCCATGTCATGACAGCATTAGGCTATACCATAATGCGCAGGATAATGTGATTTACTGTACTGTTGATAAATAACCACATAGTAAAATTGAAATAGTTTCTTATTGTAAAGCTTGAAAAACATATGAAAAGACGGATCAGCAGCTTAGCAATAACAAACTATATTGTTCATCATATCCCAATGCTAGTTGGAAAAGGGAATTAAGGAAATTTGTTCATTTGTTATGATAAATTCAATGTGTGCAGAAGCAAATACATAGTTGAACATATTAGGATGTCTCAAATTATGCAACATAAATTTTGATTAGCAGGATTGTCATTGTTAAGTGTCCCAGCAGTTCCAGTACTTTTCATTTTTAAGTATTGTATCCAATTAATGATCTGTCTTTTTAAGATCAGTTTAAGCTGCTTACACTTTCTGTACACGTGCAAAAGCAAACGGAGCATCTAAAATATAGCCAAATTTTCACAAATAGAAAAACAGAATCTCAATTGTTACAATTGAAGGCCGTTCAGCCCACTGTTTTTAGCGAGCTCTCTGAATGAACATTTCACTTGGTGCCATTCTCATGTCTGCAACCCTTAACCCAGCATGTTTTCTTTTTAAATAACTAATTCTCCTTTTGAAAATCACATACTTAAACAGTACATTCCATATCCTAACAATTTATTATATGAAAAAGCTATGCCCATATCACTTTTGCTTCTTTTACTAATTATTTTTTGTGTGCACCCTCTTGACCTCAATCCTCGAGATGTACAGCATGGAAACAGACCCTTCAATCCAACTTGTCCATGCCAACCAGATATCCTACATTAATCTAGTTCCATTTGTCAGCATTTGGCCCATATCCCCTCTTAAGTCTTTCCTATTCATACACCCATCCAGATGCCTTTTAAATGTTGTAATTATACCAGCCTCCATCACTTCCTTTGGTAGCACATTCCGTACATGCACCACCTTCTGCATGAAAAAGTTGCCCCTTAAGTCCTTTTCGAATCTTTCCCCTCTCACCTTAAACCTATGCCCTCGAGTTTTGGACCACCCTACTCTGGGAAAAAGACCTTAGCTAGTCACCCTATCCATGCCCCTAATGATTTTATAAAGGTCACCCCCTAGTCTGCTATTCTCCAGGGTAATTTTTCCAGCTGAGCCAAAACTAGTATGTTTTATAACATATATATTGTCTTTGCTCTTTATACCTGCCCCTAATCAATGATTCCTAGGATACGCTATGACTTGTTAACTGCTCTCTTGACCTGTCATATCACTTTTTAATGATGTATATGTATACACCCAGATGGCAGTGGCAAGGTGGATCCAGGGACCTAGGTTCAATTCCACCCTTGGGCGACTGTCTGTCTGTGTGGGTTTCCTCTGGGTGCTCCAGTTTCCTCCTACAATCCAAAGATGTGCAGGCAAGGTGGAGTGGCCGTGCTAAATTGCCCCATAGTGTCCAGGAATGTGCAGGCCAGGTGGATTAGCAGCAGGAAATGCAGGGTTTCAGGGATAGGTTAGGGGCATTGTTCTGTTTGGGATGTACTTCAGAGAGTCAGAGCCGGAGGGGCCTGCTTCCACACTGAAGGGATTCTATGAATCTATGCTCCTGCAACTCCTCCACCTGAAATGTACCACCTCATACTTCAAATTGAATTTCATCTGCCATCTATCCACCCACTGAACCAATTTTTTTTTGGTATTCTGAACTACCCTCAGTTGTATAATGCTTCCAAGTTTCAAATCATCTGCAAATTTTGAAATTATGCCCTGGAAGGTTCTAACTTTGAACCCTGGGGAGCTCCACAACTAATCTTATCCCAGCCCCCAAAGCATCCATTAACTATTACTCCATTTCCTGTCACTGATTTTGTGTCCATGTTACTATTTTCCCTTTAGTTCCATGAGCTATAACTTGGTTCACAAGTTATTCGTATGGCACTGTGTCAAATGCCTTTTGGAAGTCTATGTTCCATCACATCAACAGCATTACCCTCAACAACACACTGTTACTTCTTTAAAACACTCCAGCAAGTTAGTTAAAAATGATGTTCATTTAGGAAATTTGCATTGGGTCTCATTTATTAACCTTCATTTATCCACGTGACTTATTTTTGTTTTTAGAAGCTTCCCAACCACCAAAGTTAAACTGCTGAAGTTACTTATCTTTACACATTGTTTGAATATTTGCAATTCTCCAGGCAACACCCGAGGCTAAAGATGCCTGAAAAATTGTTGTGAGTACCTCCACAATTTCAATACCGCTTCCCTTCATATCCTTGGATGCATCTCATCTGGTTGCTTTGTCAACTTTAAAGTACAGACATGTCATCCTTACCAATTTTAAACCCTCTTAATGACTGAACTTCCTTTTATACCAGGGTCTGGCACCTTCTTCCTTGGTGAAGACAGATGCACAGTCCTTGTCTAATACTTGAGCTGTGCTCTCTGCCTCAAATGTTAAAATCCCCCTTCTCACCCCTAAGAGCTCTGGGGCTGATTATCGCCCTTTACTATTTCTATGCCTATGGAAAACTTTGGGATTCCCTTTTTATTAGCTACCAGTCTCTTTTCATATTCCCTCGATGTATCTATACAGGAAATTAAGAATTCAAGACTAATCGAAGAGTGAGATTCAAGAAATAGAACTCAAAAAAACTTTATCATCCTGAACAAAGCAGTCCAAATATTTGGCACCCAATCCATCAACTTAAATATTCATTCTCTCCGTCATTGACGCACAGTGGCACTAATGTGTACCATCTGTGCAATACCCTATAGCAATTTCCCAAAGCCACAAGGAAACTGGACGAATCAGGGGACGGAAAAGATGTTTGTTTTAAGGAATAGACATTAGGATACCGAAATAATAATAATAGGAGAAAGGTTAGAACCTTAAGGTGATATAAAGAAAATAGTATGCTTCCATTGTATTAAGAGTGAACAGAGCTAATGCTGGAAATTAAAATAGGTGATCTCTTACAATAGAAGGAAGTACAATGGAATCCTCAGAAAAGGGAGCATTGGGAAAGGTGTCCTACTCGGAATCTAGTAGAAAAGGGGGAGATGGCTCAAGACAGTCAAGCAAATTTTTCACCAGTCATTCCTAAAGAGAATCTGAGTACAGAAAGTTTTTAATATTTTGATAGAGAAAAATTTCCTTATTTTCTAATCAAGTAGGCAAATTGATATAGATACAGGGAAACACTGTTGATGCTAAATAAAGATAATAATTCATCTTCCAAAGAGGTAAAGAAAATAATAAATTAATTGGAAGTATAAATGGAGATTACCAATCAATCCCATTTTATAGAGTCAAAGTAAGGAGAGACCTAGCAACAAATCTTTACAGAAGGAATTGATTTTGTTTGGGGGAATGACCTGGCATCAGAACAACTGATTGAATTCAGAGGTCACAGGGAGAACATCCTGGATTTTTTTTTTCTTAACTGTGTTGTGACTAGATCTCAGGCCTATTGAATTAGAAAAAAAATGAAGATTCCATGCAAAAGGGAGATAATGTTAAAATTCATTTGAGTAAAAAAGGACCAAGGTAAAGAAAATGAGGTTATATTTATACCATCTTCTTTTATAGAAATGCAACAAACAGATCCCAAGTTGAGAGAACTATATCAAACAGTTGACTCAGAAATTGAATCAGAACCAGTATTGCAGTGGTACTGTTTAAAAGTCAGTTTCTTTATTAATTTGTGGGATATGGTTATCATAAGCAATAAATTCCAAGTCAATCCCCAACTACCCCTGAGATGATGATGATGATGAACTGCCTTTTTGAACTGTTGCAATCTGTTTGATGTAGGTAGACCAAGGATGCTATTAAGGACGGAATGCCCAGACTTAGAGTGTTAATCACAAAATGAAGACGACTTCATATACCAGTCAATGAGGGTTGGGCATTAGTTCATCAGATAACCAATAAAATGACACTTTTAGATATTAGAAAAATGCAAGCTGGGATACTAAAACATCTTTACTAGGCAGGAAACAAAGATATGGTTGTTGGCATGTAAGGTTACAGGGAAACACACAATTATGTTGTATGTTTAATTCTGTTACCAGTTTTTGAAGAACTGTCTAGCACTGTTTTAACAGATTGCGTAGAATCCCTATCTAAAACAAGGAGTGGGAATCAGCATCTCTTAACAGTTCTGATTTTTTTTAAACAAGATTTCCTGAGGAGAAAATTACAGAAAACATTCTAGTGGGAAAGTTAGTTCAAATTTTTGACAAATTATGTATTACCAGAAGAAATAAAATTTGAACCTTGAACTAATTGTAGGTCACAAATAATTGGTAGTTTGGAAATAACACAATTGATCCTTCAGTTCATCATCCACATTCTCACAATGCAGTCGCAATGTGATAACATCAAATCTTAAAGGCCATGATGAGCGCTTATTATCAAGAAAGTTCTAATGATTAAAATAATGGATTTCCCTTATTACTGTTTGCCATTAGAGATGTCCCTAATGAGTCCATAAGATTCAATCCTTTTGAACTGGTGTAGACTTGATTGAAAAAAGCTCTTAAATTAATAAAAGACAAATTTACAAACCAAAGCTCAGAGATAAACCTGTTGACCTGTGTTACAATCCTGAGAAATAAAACTAACCAAAGCCAAAAAATAATTTTAAAAGTTTTCCACAAGCAATGAAAATTAGAGTAGAGAGAAAGCTTGGAATTTTGTTCCTGGACGCAAGGTCTGGGGAACTTTTAAATAGGTTTACTGGACATTATCATATTTTTAAAAACAACTGATGATTTACGTAGTGTGTACTAGGCAGAAGACTAAATTAGCAAGTGAGTCATTTTCATTTGTTCAGGCA